CACAAAGCTTTGAATCCTTAGTGTTAACATTTGTTATGGTGTTGCTTATGACTGCCTGTGAGATGATATCAAAATGTTTTCAATTCTCTCCATAATTATTTTTGGCTTTATAAAAACTCAGAAAAACTAACACTGCCTTTTAACTTTTGCCAAAGAGAAACCCCCCAAAGAGGGGCTTTTGAACCCTGCAAGTGAATTTGAGGCACACGTTACATGTAGCTTTTGCTATTCCCCATGATCATAGCAGTACCAGCGATTTCCTTGTCTTTTCTATCTTGGGACAGATGTTACTACTCACTTCAGAACATCTTTATGGTGATTTTTCAGGATAAAATAGGTTTCTTAAAGGATGAGGAAGAAAATATTATGATGTATTTGGTGTTCTCCTATTATTATTACTTTGAAAATGCTACCCTAGTCAGAATCAAATTATAAATTTTGAAAGCTTACTAATTCTCTTACAGTCTATCATGTTATTTTATGATTAGTTAAATTCACTTTCCAAATATAGTAGCTTTATTAAATACATTTGTATTTACGTCAATAGTACTTTTATTATAATGTTTATAATTCTGTTTTTTCAGAGCTTCATTATTTGATCACCATGAACTAGCAGACTATTTAATTTCAGTGGTAACTATTCCTTTTACTGGTTTATTTTTATTACTGTTTATAATTGAAGAAATCATATAATTACATAATATGGATTTTCAAAAATGAATCAAATTTTAATTTCTTGCTTATCAGCAAAAACAGTGTACAAAAGGATGATTGACATACTTGGAAGCAGAGTATATTGTGTATGAATACGTAATGGCCAAACATTACTGTGAACTTAGAAGTGTCAAAGCGTAATTTGGATATCCATATCAGTGTTTTTAGTGCAGGAAGTTGGCAGGTACATTGCAAGGAAAGCTGTTCCCATGGCCTGTAAGAGGGTCTTACAGGAGTGTGAGCTTGGGCGGTGACCCTTCTTCAGCCTGGTGGCTTTAAGGTGGAGGCAGGACAGGCAGCACAGGGGGAAGCTCCTACCCCAGCTGCCTCAGTGCCACCTTTAAAAACTGTGGAGTTGAAAAATATTGTCAAAGATTTATTACAAATGAAAGCATGAAGCATGGGATCTTTTTCACTCTGGGAGGTGGAATCAGTCAGCTTTTGAGTTGAATTTTAATAAGCCCTTTATACGGATGAATGTGTGGTGAATTTACGTAAGCTGCACCATATCAGCAATGACAGATTTCCATTTGTAGTATTGAACATGTGTGTGTTGTCAATCATAACTATTGAAATTACGATAATTACACAGAAGAGTCCTAGGGAGACTCATTATATACCATAAACTATGTGTTATATGCCATAAACCATAAATGATAGTTATGCATGATTTCCTGCAAAGGCTGCCATCTTTTCACCAGGCAAGAGAACTGTGGCAGAGCCTCACTGACCATGGAACTTGCCAAGGGGATGCTGCCCCCATTGTCATCTATATTAGTGGGCCCCAAAAGAACAAATAAATATTCATATTTGAATTTTAAGCTATTTTTTATTACCCTATATAAAATGCAGAATTATTTCCATGAAATTTTTAAACGCCTTTGATTTCTTGTCATATCAAATATTATAATATGTAATGGTTAACATTGACTTATTCATTTAAAAATATATATTTAATGTGATTTTTAAATATAAATTTTCTTAAATAAATGGCTAAAATTTTACTTTAGAATTTGAGTGATTTCAATTCAATTATTTCAGTTCATCTATTTCAGATAAAATAGGATTTTTTTAAAAAGTGGATGGTGTTTTGTAAATGTTTCTTAAATCATATATGTAATGAATTTGGAAGACTTAAAATTATAGACATTTAAAAATTATTTCTTGCAGTGGAAACTATTGATCTAAGTAAAAGGATATTATTTTTATGGTTCAAGTAGTAACTAGTGCTATTGCCAGGTGTCAGTAAAAAGCCTAATATGTGAGAATAATTTTTTGTTGAAATTATAAATGAATTCCTTGATTTCTGATGATACAACATATGAACTATGGGAAACTTTCGAATAATTCTATAACTAATCATATGGTTCAGTGCTAGCCATAATATAGACACTCTATATCAATGAATTACCATTAGTTAGAGATTACAATATATGATGGTTTTTCTGTTTTTAAGCTCTTTGTTGAATGATTTGTTTGATTTTTAGGGAGCAGATATTAATAAGATCGATTCTGAAGGACGCTCTCCACTTATATTAGCAACTGCTTCTGCATCTTGGAATATTGTAAATTTGCTACTCTCTAAAGGTACCAAGAGGGACCAAGCCAAGTCTTTTGAAGTACTACTCAGTTTGGTTAGATGAACATTCATTGTGTACCAAATGAACCTTCATTGTGTGCCACCATGTATTGTGTGCCAGGCCCTGCGCCAGATGTTGTGACTTCAAAGATAAATAGAACACTTTTCATGTCTAGAATAATTTTCTGTCCAGTAAGGGAGCATACTTAAAAAGACAATTTCAGAGCAATAGTAGATAACATTTATAAAGCAATTGTTATATCCCAGGCATTTGCTGAACATTTAATTAACTGTCTTTCAATGTGTCAGTCCTATGTGGTGTAGGTACTATAACTTTCCCCGTTTTAGATTCTAACCTGGGCCCCTGATAAGAAAGAAGTGAGGTGTCCTTCTCTGCTGTCCTCTTCTTTCTTGATCTCTAATGTGTCTGTACTTATATTTTATGCTTTAAAAGGTAAGGCTTTATGTATTTATGTAATGCATCACATATTTTCTACCCCACTTACACACACACACAAAGACACACAGAGTAAGGTAAACCTGATTTTAAATATGTTTAGTTTTCTCATCTAAACACAATTTCCTGTAAACTAAAGGTCAACATTATTTTAAGTCAAATTTTTTTTTGCTAAGTTGAGAATCCACATAAACAATGCTTTAAATAAATGAATAGAGTTTATATTTACATAGTGTTTTTTTCAGGTGCCCAAGTAGACATAAAAGATAATTTTGGACGTAATTTTCTGCATTTAACTGTACAGCAACCTTATGGATTAAAAAATCTGCGACCTGAATTTATGCAGGTAATGTATATCTATGGATTTCCATTAACTGAGTTGGGTTCAACAGAAAATAAACTAATTTTGTTTATTGTAATTTTTGTTGTTATAGAAACTGATTCTGGAATTTTAAAAATGTTTTAAAATAAAGATGACATATTTGAATAGTTACAACATGGTGATGGTGGTGGTGGTGATGATGATGACAATGATAATTGTAGTGAAACTGAGTTTTTTAACCTACAAAGGAACTTCATATGCAATCATCTATGATAAAGATAACATCTTTAATTAGTTTGATTTTCTTCATTCTTTGACCATTATGATTTGCATATCAGTGGAAAAATCCAAGTAAAATAATGAATTATCAATACTCCACCATCTATTAAGAAAAATTACTCAGCATACTTGACTTGCTGAGGAGAGGTTGAAAGCATTATTTTTATATTTATATTCACCAGCTAATATTTAGTGACTAGCACATGCATGTGAAATACACATTTTTGTCATCAGTAGATTTCAATATTGCCATTGTCTTTCATAATAAAAAATATGTATGTATTTGAACATTAAAAAAATAACAAAATATGAGAAGCTTAAGCTTAAGCATATAAAACATAAAGTAAACCTAATGTTAACATCCGATCCATTTTACCTAACAGAATGTATTAACATGAAGCTGTTGGGTGTTATTTGGGGGTGGGAGGAAATAAGAGGAGGGGCAGAGGGAAGGGCCGTGATCCAATATATTTGAAAAATGCTGAGTTAAAAATGTTAAGTACATTTTCCCATTGGCATGGTATCTCAGATCCTTTAATATGGTAATGTACATTAATATGGTAATGTACATTACATGAAGACAGAGCATTCAACTTCCTTCATATTTATTTTACTCTCAAATCCTTTAGGTTATTTACAATTTTGGCCCTAAGGAGTACATATTGACCCTTGTTGGAAAATATTTTCCTACACAATAGTTTTAAAACCATCATTTTAGCATAATAGCAGAGTTATTTGTATAATATGAATTTTTTTCCTATAGATGCAACAGATCAAAGAGCTGGTAATGGATGAAGACAATGATGGGTGTACTCCTCTACATTATGCATGTAGACAGGGGGGCCCTGATTCTGTAAATAACCTTCTTGGCTTTAATGTGTCCATTCATTCCAAAAGCAAAGATAAGAAATCACCTCTGCATTTTGCAGCCAGGTAAGGGTCAGTCTAGCAATGTATGAACATGTCTTCTTTCCGTTTAATATTTGCTTTGAAAATACAAAGCCTAATTTTTTTCAAGTTACGGGCGTATCAATACCTGTCAGAGGCTCCTACAAGACATAAGTGATACGAGGCTTCTGAATGAAGGGGACCTTCATGGAATGACTCCTCTCCATCTGGCAGCAAAGAATGGACATGATAAAGTGGTTCAGCTTCTTCTGAAAAAAGGTGCCTTGTTTCTCAGGTGAGGATATATGATTGGAATGTTTATATAGTTTCTTTAATTAGCCATTTTGAGGCTATCTTTTCATTATATTTTTAATTATGAGGTCTAACTTTATATCTCACTAAGTACTTTTATCCATTTTATTTTATCATCAAAACATATATAACTTCTAAAAATACTGGAAGGGAAGTCAGTATTATTTCCAACTGAAAGACTTTGAAGTTTTTAGACTTGAAGAACCTTGTTCGAGGTCACAGAATAAGTGGCTTTGTGCAGTCTTTCTCAGAACCTTTCTTTGAAATACAGTTCTCATACTTTACCTCATCTTGCTGCCATATTCCTATATAGAGACAAAACCATGGTTGTGTATGTGTGTGTGTGCACGTACACACACACAAAACATACAAGTTCAAATATTCTACTTTTCATTCAATCTGATGAATGGTAGATATAAAAAGCTCCCTTTAAGTGACAACAGAAGACAGTAAACATTTCTGAATTTTATTATGCTTAAATGAGCTCAAGCACAAGAAACAAAACAAAGTTAAAATATGTAAGCATAAGAAAATACGTGGCATAATTAAATGACATTGTGATAAGAAAGAAAAAACCTGGAAACATTTTACAGAGGTTTTTCATTTAATATCTTACCATAGCAGTAGCAAAGAGCTTATTAGGCTAATGTTCAAAAACACATTTCCTTACCATAATATTGATGACAGCAAATTAGTGCTACAGCTACAAGAATAAATGTTTTGCTCAGTTTCTTCTGGTTTACAAAGAAACACCAAGAAACTGGCCTGCAAAGGGACCCAAGTAGACCCAGGCCAGACAGTTGTTGCTTATTTACATCATAACTGATATAGCAACATGGCTCTTGCACTCTAAAACATCTGCTCACTAGCACTGAAATCAAATAGTGTCAGGAATTTTTTTCCAGGTAATTTGAAAAAAGATAACTAATATGATAAGGCTTCGTTGTATTTACATCTTGAATTTCTGTGGAAAAGGATAAACATTTTTCAAAGCAAATGAGTAAGCATCTTTCAGAGCACAAGAGGGAAGTTTTTCAGATTTAAACTCTTAGAATAATAACTGACACTAAGCGAAGTATCTTATAGCCATATACTATATTATTAGTAGTATTACCAATAACTATTGACCATAAACACTAACATTACTTCATAAAAATTTGTTGATACAATGTTCATTGAAAGAATAAAACAAGATTTAAATTGATGTGTATCAGTTCATTATAGCTTTAAAAAAATGATGTATGACACAGACACGCTAAGCGTACTTCTTCTACCCCAAAGTGTTTGGTAATGTTTTATATACTTTCGTATTTTAAACCACTAAATAAAAAACGTGTGAATCACGTTAGAAATAGGTCATTTAAGATCATTAAGCTTGGAATTAGCTCATTTATTATAAATGTTTTATAAATATTTAGTTGCCAGATGTCATTTATGCTTTTTGTTGTCATCAGATTTACCTAGAATAAGCCAAATGGCATCCCATCCCACATTTCGTCTGCTAAGTGTATGCGCATATCTTTTCTTAACTCTTTACCAGTGACCACAATGGCTGGACGGCTTTGCATCATGCGTCCATGGGCGGGTACACTCAGACCATGAAGGTCATTCTTGATACTAATTTGAAGTGCACAGATCGCCTGGATGAAGACGGGGTATGCACTGTGGTCCTCATGCTTACCCAAAATCTTGACATAGCAGAAACTTCCAACATTGCCAGAAAACTCTCCAAGACACCTTTTACCTTCCTTGCTCTATTCCCAGCCTTTTGTTGGATGTTTAGCAAGTGGATTCTTGAGGTGAAGTATGAATCAAAAGGCAGCAGAAATGAGAGAATACCAAGGGGTGGGTGAATGTTGAGGAAACCCCCAGTCTCACAGAGCAGCGAGGTCCACAGGCCATTGAAATTTGATGGCAAAGCGTTTACTCCCTGGTAGGTCCACAGAAATGAAGGCAGGGGTGAGTTTTCATTAAGATAAGGGTTGTTTTGAAGTGTATTGATTTGAAATACTGCCCTTTATTGTGCTATTATGTCCTTCTGTTGGGGAGAGTGACTTTTGAAACGTATGTTTGTTCATAAAATGATGGGGATAGAAGATTGTTGTTGCCTTTAAAAAAAAAAAATCTTTATGTGGGGAAACTAAAAATGGGCAAACTTATAACAGTCGCTGATTTAAAAAAAAAAATTTACAAGCTTGTGAAGCCCCAAATCTGTAAGCCACTGTTCTCCAAATGATCAGTCTCAGGAGGATTTTCTTCTGTGTTCAACCCAACATCTTTACCCTGAAAGCTTATCCTTTGTCCTTGTAGAATCATCCCATTGCAAAAGCAACACAAAACAAATACCTTGGAATTCATTCTCTCTCTCTTTCTCTCTCTTTCTCTCTCTCTCTCTCTCTCTCTCTCTCACACACACACACACACACACCCCGATCCACTTCCCACACATGCACACACACACACCATGTTTGAACTATGAACTCATTATTTTGAAGCTTGATTCTGAACACCAGTTTTAAATCCTATGTATTTTGGTATTAAATAGTAGTGTCGCTAATGTCTTTTAAGCAGTTAAGTGGTGAAATAAGGCAGATTAGACATTGTCACCACATTTTCTGTGTCTCTTTTTCCTCAAAAGAACACTGCACTTCACTTTGCTGCAAGGGAAGGCCACGCCAAAGCCGTTGCGCTTCTTCTGAGCCACAATGCTGACATAGTCCTGAACAAGCAGCAGGCCTCCTTTTTGCACCTTGCACTTCACAATAAGAGGAAGGAGGTGGTTCTTACAATCATCAGGAGCAAAAGGTATACTGTCTTCCTGTCCACTGTCATGTAGTGTTCTCTGGTGTCAGGATGATTTGAAGTCTGAGAAAATAAGAGAAAAGAAATGAGTTTCGGCCATTAATTAAAATTTAAAATATCAGTTGTTTGCATCAATCTTTAAAGTTTTTTATTTTTAATTTGTATTTATTTATTTTTAGAAAAGGTCTAGCTCTGTCACACAGGTTGGAGTGCAGTAGCGTGATCTCTGCTCACTGCAATCTCCACCTCCCGGGCTTCAGCAATTCTCATGCCTCCTGAGTAGCTGGGACTATAGGCACGAGCCACCATGCCCAGCTAATTTTTGTATTTTTCATTGAGACATGGTTTCCCCATGTTAGCCAGGCTGCTCTCGAACTCCTGGGCTCAAGTGATTCGCCCACCTCGGCCTCCCAAAGTGCTGGCATTACAGACATGAGCCACTGTGCCCGACCCTTTTATTTTTAGTTTGTGTGGGTAAATAGTAGGTGTGTATATGTATCAGGTACATGAGATGCTTTGATACAGCCATGCAATGCATGATAATCACATCATGGAGAATGGTATCTATCCCCTCAAGCATTTATCCTTTGTGTTACAATCCAATTATACTCCTTTAGTTATTTCTGAATGTCTACCTAAATTTATAAATGAATTTTTTTGGATGACAACAGGCACATTGCTTAACCTCTCTGATCTTCAGTTTATATTTCTTAAAAAATAAAATGTGGGCACATAAAACCAAGCTTCACATCACTCTTGTGAGACTCCAGGGGTTCAGGTGTAGTGTCTGGAACCATATCATTGTCAAACAAACTCTGCACTGCCCTACCTGAATTTGCCCAACACGTGCCAGTAGAAACCCTAAAACTGGATGCTGGCAAAAATATTCCCCAAGGCAAATCGAATTGGTTATCAGTGCCATATAATGGGATGACTCTTAACATGTAATCTTTTGAGTTGGTGGGTTTGTAAACCATACGCCAAGGAGTTTTAGTGATTAAGTTAGAGGATAGTTTGTTCCACTTCTCATAATATCTTTTTAGTATCACTTTCTATAATAATCACAGATAGATACGCACAAGGGCCCAGTGTCACCTAGTAGTGGACACAGAGCAAACATTCTCATATTCAAGGCACATCAAGCCTGTGTTTTTGAGCATGGGCAGTCTAAAAAATCTCTTACTGATCATCCCTTTAAAGCACTTTTAATGCAAGTGTTCAATCCAAACTTTTCTTTTGACAATGTAGATGTACTAGATGGGTTTTACTGATAGAGTTTAACGGAGAATTGGATAAGATCTTGGAGATAAATGGGCTATTCTTTGCCTCCTGCCATAGATTTAGTTCCTCCTTGGTATGGTAAGCACTGTCTTACCCTGTTCAGTTGGATGGTGATGAAGAAAATGGGCAAAATCTGGAATGTTCTGGCAGAGGCTATGCTTATCAATGCACTTTACGCGTGTTAGTTTGTAGTTTAACTCAATACAGGATGTACACATGCATTAGTTATTAAATATGGGACCAGTACTACACTGATGATATAGGTATGTGAATGTGGAATCTCTACCTAACGTGGTCAGCTCTGTAAATACTGACCATTTCATAACTTCAGGAGAAAAAGAAGATATAGTCCCAGCTTCTTGGAATGGCATTTAGATACAGAGACAGAACAATGATTATAACAGCCATCCTGAAATTTACCCACATTCCTAATGTCCATTAATGGACAAGGATCCTGTTACTGAGTTGATCTTGGTTTACATGTTGGTTCCATTGGAACCAAGGGTGAGCATTGTATTTCATGAATACGCTTAAGTTTAGGTTTCCCCTAAAGAAATAATCTTGAGTTTCAGCTATTGTACAGAACAGAAGGATGAAGACCTGTGCTTATCTTACTTATTTATTTTTTACAGATGGGATGAATGTCTTAAGGTTTTTAGTCATAATTCTCCAGGCAACAAATGTCCAATTACAGAAATGATAGAATACCTCCCTGAATGCATGAAGGTAAACTCTCTAAAACAAAACCCATATCTTCCTGGGTTTATGCTTGACATATATGATCTGAGGATTTATTGTTGTAATCACAACCTAATAATAATAATTTCCAGCTTTAAAGCTTCTCATTTTCCTTAGGCTATAAGGGAAATGAGACAATAACTACTTAAGGAAGGCCTTCTTGGATTAAAGAATCCTATTATTATATGTAATAGGTAATAATATGGTAAAATATTTTTATTTAAATAATCTGCGCCTATAGCAGAGACTATGAACTGGTGTTTGTTGGCTGAATAAAGCCTTTGTATATGTTTCACTTGGCATGCATGCTATTGTTGTTTCAAATTTGCATGAATTGCTAATGTTTGAAACCAGGATGCTTTCCTTAAGGTATCTGGTTTCCTCCAGTTATATTTTCCTCCAAATATCTAGCCTCTCATAAGAATGAGATCTTGTACCTGGGCCTACCTTCTCACAAGGCAGGAATTGCTGAGCTGAGCACCAGCAGCTTCCCATGGGAGGGACAATCACTCTCCTATTTAAAAACATGGATGAAGCTGGAAACCATCATTCTGAGCAAAATATCGCAAGGACAGAAAACCAAACACCGCATGTTCTCACTCATAGGTGGGAATTGAACAATGAGAACACTTGGACACAGGGTGGGGAACATCACACACTGGGGCCTGTTGTGGGGTGGGGGGAGGGGGGATTGATAGCATTAGGAGAAATATCTAATGTAAATGACGAGTTAATGGGTGCAGCAAACCATCATGGCACATGTATACATGTAACAAACATGCATGTTGTGCACATATACCCTAGAACTTAAAGTATAATAAAAAATAAAATAAAATAAAATGCTCCACCTCTCCCCTTTGTATATTGGGCTCCAGTGCCTAGTTGTCACATATTGTCATTCTTATGCAATTGCTTTCCTTATAGTAGAGAAGTATTGAATTATGACTTTATCCAAACTGTGAAGATAAAAGCTTGCCCAAGGATAGCCAACATCTCAAGAACAATGGAAAAAAACTCTTATGCCTGGCATGGTTCCTTCATTTACATTGCTTGCCTGGCCTCTGTGAGTTTTTAAATATGTGACTCTCTTTGCTACATTAAATATACACCAGCATATGATCGGATACTCCATACAAGACAAACATGCACAGATTGTTGAGCGGATGAGTATTAAAGGATGCTAAAAGGCAATCTGGGAAAGTTGGGATTTGAGGGTTGGGACAGACATGGAATGGTCAAGAAAGGCAGAATGACTTCAGATATCTTGCAAAGGAAAAATATATCCAAATGCTGGAGGAGGCAGTAAGATATAGTGACGCAGGGAATAGAAGACCAGATTTGGAGCCTTCTGGAGGTCTTGGGATTTAATCCTGGTGCTGCCTTTCACTGAGTTGTTTTAGGCAAGTCATTTCACCTCTCTGAGCTTATTTTCTGTTTTCTCTATTTCTAAAATAATGATGCTAATACTGATCTTACAACGTGATTACAAAAGTGGGGGTAAAATATATAAAGTGCTAAGGATAATGGTTCATACATAATATACCTCCTACTATTTTTGTACTGCTTATGTGGTTATTAGTACTACTAGCACTTATTGTATTTTATTTATTGAGCAGGGACTTCCTGTGCACTAAATATTTTGGGCATTTTCTTTTTTATGATGCCTAATGAAAATTTGAGCAGTCCAGTACACAAATGGCAGACAGATTAACTTTTTAGGTGCCTACATCTCATCAAAGGACACATAAATACTCAATCTCAAACTTTCTTATTCTGTAGTTAACAATTGTTAAAATCTGTCTTAATGAATAATCAGAGATACAGACTTTTACAGAATGTTTTCTACAACATTATTTGTAATTGTAAAACAATGTTGAAATATTCCCATGTGAAAACATAGTAAACAGTCAAAATTATACCAAAATGTTAATAAGAATTATCTGTTACAGGAATAGGATTAGTTTTTAATTTCTTCCTTATGCTACTACATTTTCTAGGTAATTTTCTATAATGACTTTATTACTTTTGTATTGTGACTACTTTTCAGCAAAATAAGTGAATTTAAATGTCTTAAGCCTGACATAATGCATTTGAATTACTTATACAACATTTCTGAAAAGTTGCTCTTGAAATCTCCCTGGCCCCCACCCAAGACAGCCCATCCTTTATTTTGCACACATTGATTATTACCCAGTTTTCAAACTATAACAACCAGACCTGCCTGTTTCTGCCTTACACAGCACTACTGGCTAGTCTTGTCTTTATTGTTCATGATGGTTGTTGTGACCTCTAGTACTGCTATCCAGTCACCAACAGAGCCTGCCTTGTAATTTTCTTAATCCCTTTGCTACCTGAGACCAGCCAGGGCCCTGTTTCTTCCCTTCTGGATATAGTCTGACCCTCTACCCTCAAGTTCTGCAGGTTCACCAGATGCCCCAGGAGGTCCTAGATGCATTGATGGGGCCATATGGTGTATCGTGTCTAGTCCTGGTTCCAAGAGGGCAGCCTGGCTAGGTAGTATTTCTTTCTCAGGACCATAAATTTGGACCACTAGATTTGGGGTGTCTCACATTGTTTATGCAGCCCCACAAAAACAATTGTTCCCGAACACCATAGGGGTGGCTCTAATGACCCCATAAGTGTTCTTTCCCTAAGTTAAGTATCTAGAGAGCCTTCATCTATTTCTCATTACAACATCTATCCCCCTGTCCACCCTCCTCTAAACACATACTCTCTCCGTGTTGCTTGGCACATGAGGTACAGAAGCAAACACGTTACTCCAGACTGGGGCAATTCAGAAGATGGGACCTAAACCATAGAAAGACTCCATTGCTGGGATGGAAAATCTTGATTAGGAACAATAAGTTGTCACTGTAAGGTACTCAGAAAAGGAATCAGATTGACTATCCTTTATCCCAACGTCTTGGGACCAGAAATGTTTTGGATTTCAGAATATTTGCCTATATATAATGAGGTATCATAAGGATGGGATCCAAGTGTAGATACAAAATTCATTTGTGTTTCATACACTCCTTAAAAGCATA